TATGGTTTCATGTAATTACCACTAAAACTAAACACCTGGTCTAGTGTAATTTCCTCTTTTTTTAATTAAATTTCTGTTGGGCTGTCCTTCCCAAAGCTATTAATTGGGCTTTTTTATTATAGAAAGTGGAAATACTATAAGTAGTGTTGTGAATTTTAATAAGATGAAAGGATGGATCATTACATCTAAGATCATGTGCATGAATTAAGTCCTTTAATATTAGCAACTATTAGTTTTTCAATTTTATATATTCTTGCATATGTGTTTAATGTTTCCAAAAATAATTAAGTAAACGACCTAATGTTACAATTAGTTATAAATATATAATTAAACAAGGTGTTATGTCGTTAGGTGAGCGATACGAGCATTGCTATCCGAAACAGAAAATCGCAATATTTGTCATCCCTGCATGCCAACAGACATTTTTATTTTATTTTAGCAACTAATTAATTACTAATTTGGTGAGGGTTGGCAGCTTACAAATAATGCAAAACTGCCCATTCTTTGTCATTGTTCCACGTGGGACTTCTCTTACTTTAAGATTAGAGAGACAAGAAATTAATTTTTTCTCGACGCAGTGTTTGTATATGTTTATGATTCTTCTTACCTTAAAATTAGAGAAATATGAGGTTAATATTTACACGACAAAAAGTGTTATGCACGATTGGAATTTTTTAATTGTTTTGGGCAATGGAAGTACAGAAGTGTGCAAAAGTTAATGCAACACATATATCTTAACAAACAAAGTTATAAACAGTAATTGATATACTTTGTTAACACCAAAATCGATAATTAGAATCAAGAACATCGTCCAATTTGTAAAAGAGTACATGTTAAATTGTTTTGACCATTTGAATGATGGAGGGTGCAACGGTCGAACACATTCGAATACTTTAGTGGAATATTGATGAAGTGTATATAAAAAACCATTGCACAATTGAACATTTTTATACATTTAAATCGAGTCTAGGTCTTATATTTATAGAAGTAAGAGTGATATTTGTGATTGAGGCCTTTGTGTATCAAAACCTTACTTGTCAATATATACTCTTAACGACCTTTCCGGACCTCTCATTAATTACATGTATGCTACATAAACCACTAAAATTTTAAACAACATTCTAAATGAAGTACAAACACTATCTAGTATGTAAGGTTAGCTAAGCAAAATGTCACGTAAAAGCACTTGTTTCGAGGTGATGGGAACATCTACAGTCACCTCGACCATCTCTCATTCCGAGGCATTGGTGTACATCCCCAATGCCTCGTCGACGACAACTTCCAAAGCAACATACTTCATGTAGATCTACCACTTCTATTATCAGAAGCCATCAGTATAGATCTACCCCTTCTCAGTTGTCACATTAGATGTGCTTCTAGACTTTGAGGTGACTAAGGTTTGGTAGAGGACAGCTGTAATCTGACATTTTGAGCTACGTACGATGTGATTGATGCGATAACTTTGCAAGGACAATTGGGGGTCGAATTTCCTCTTTCCCACCTATAACAATGTACATGAGGTCTCATGTTTATGATAACTAGTGTATGACATTTTGACGTTGTGAGTCGTTGAAATGAAGCCACATTCAAGCATCCAAGATACTTTAAGTTAATTCATTTACTTATAAATACTCATACTTGGCGAAATTTGAAGTAGTGGCGGATTTAGGCCTGGCCTATTAAATACTCGGTACTTCCAAGTTAAATATCTTGGCGCAATATTTTTGGTTGTTATTACAATTGAGAGAATGAAGAATTGAATTGAAGATATTATTCATCTCGAAATGGAAAAGGGGAAAATCAGTACAATAAATAGGTAAGGAAGAAAAAGGACAGGAAAGTCTTACTGATTAACTAATTATCCAGCTGGCAAACTAATACTGAAAATAAAATGAACAATGGTCATAGTAGTTGTTTGTCATCTATATATATAAATCTTAATAGTTGGTATTTGGTAACCATGCTCGTCAAAACTCAGATTGACGATCACCCAAATCCCAAATCTGTTCTGATCATTATGTTCACATAATTAAGTAACCTGTCACACCCTAAATCCTCCTATATCAAACAAGACCCATGTTTGATGAGCCCATGGCGTAATTTGTACAATTCACAAGCGGCTATTACAGCTTTCAATTTCAAGGAGTCCCAACAAACATGACCGGTAAAATACGACCAAACCCAAATTAAGGTTGTTTGTAAGGTTGTCTAAGAGTTCGTACTATTTAAGTGGATAATGAAAGTTCAACCAAAGAATTGTTGGGTAGTTTGGGAAGGTATCAAATGTACTGGTAATATATCTCAATCAAACACATAAAAATCTTGATTATCCACAAGAATACACAAACAGTTAGCCATTTAAAAAACATCTTAATGCAAAAACATAATAAGCAAGGGAACTCATCGTGATCAGATGATTGAAATCGGTTGGCATGGTCGAGTTTTGGACAGCTCGTGTATTCTTTATCTTTATAAAAAAATTGTTCGAAGTGCATAGACATACATAGTTGAGCTTGACGCAGTCCAACTACAAGGACCAAAAAGGTCAATGGCACGGCCAGGTTAACAAAAGGCAAGGAGATCCTGTCGCGGCTGTCAAGTGTGGTTGTTAGGAGATGACAAGTTACAGAATTGGATGGTCACGAAACTATGTGCTTGTTTGGTAGTGATTTTTGGGGGAATAATTGATTTTTGAATAGTGATATGATGGGAAATGTGTGGTTGAAAAAGAAGAAAAAAGTATTGATGTGATGGAAAATATTATTTTATTGAAGAATGTATGGTTGAAAATGAGANGGAAATGTGTGGTTGAAAAAGAAGAAAAAATTATTGATATGATGAAAAATATTATTTTATTGAAGAATGTGTGGTTGAAAATGAGAATTGATTTACTGTAGAATTTGAAAATAAAAAACAAACATGCTCTATGTTTATTGCATCCTTCTTCAGAGTTTTTAGTGTATTAGATATTCCTCAATTAAAAAACAAATCCTCATTAACGCCCAAACTTCCCCTTTCCCCTAAACAATTATTCAGTCAAATTCAAATTCTCCGAACTGAATTTATTGCAATCAATCCTTAAATATTCACGAGCATTCCCCTTTCCCCCTTAGTCCTTCCTACTCCCCAACTATTACACAATTTGCACCTAAATTCATATGCATGAAACTTACTTTGTGGGCTCGTCTTGTCTTCTTCACCATAAACATCAAGAATCTCTCTCTCTCTCTCTCACTCACTCACACACACACACACACACACACACACTTTTTTTGTTCTTAGTTTTACGCCTATTAACTAGTAACTACATACATCACCCCATACATTAATCTGGGTTGATCCTCTTATGGTTCTTGGGACCATCTCTCACCTTCTCCCATTACTATATTCCTCCCATTACAAAATCCCATGCCATTTTATATATGTATCTGTTTATTTATTCATATAATTCACACCCATTTTGCCAAGACTTCTTTTTTCTCTCTCGGGGAGTAAATTCTCTCCTTTCCTTTGAAGCAAAGTTGCGTCAGAACTTTTTCTCTTTTCTTTATTGCTTTTTGGTTTCTCGGTTTCTGTGCGTTTGCGTTTCGAGATCCATTGTTATAATCAAAATGGGTTTTCCAAGAATTAGTTTCACTAACTCCGTAGAGCCTCTGCACACCTCATTCCCCTCAAAAGCTCAAATTTTGGGCACTACTGAGGATCTTGATTACTATGAAACTGATGATTCTGAGGTAAAACTCAAGTCTTTTCTGTACAAAATGATCTGGGATTTTGGTTTAGCTTGTCTGGTTTCACCTCGCCGGCGACGGAGCTCCGGCGAGGAACAGATGGTTGAGGGAAATTGTGGTGGAAACACTTTGGAGCACAACAAGGCTTGGTTGCTTGCGGAATCTGGTGGATGCGGTACAGAGGAGCCTCACTCAGTGCACTCGTCTTTTAGGTTCAGTTTCTGCTCTCAGGTGGAACTTGAATCAATGAATGTGAACAAAAGCTGTTCTTCCACCACTGTATTAATGGTAAATTTGGATAATGGATTGCTGTCTGATTCCAAGTCCAGAGAGTTGAAATGGAGAAGAATTGAGTCATTGGAGAGGAGTATCTCTCCAGTGGCTCACTCCTTGATTAGATTCAGCTATTCAGAAATTCTATCTGCCACTAGATGTTTTTCAAAGGGTATTTAATCAAGTTTCCTTCAAAATTTTCAATTCCTTTGTCAAATGATCTTCGTTTTTTACTCTCATTTTTTTTCATGATTATAACTTATTTTGTTGAAATGAATAGGTAGAGTCTTGGGCAGAGGGGCTTTGAGTTGTGTATTTAGAGGACGAGTGGGATTTCTGAGGACTGCAGTGGCAATTAAGCGATTGGATAAGGAAGATAAGGAGTGTTCAAAGGCATTTTGTAGAGAATTGATGATTGCTAGTAGTTTACGTAACCAATACATTGTTCCTCTTGTGGGATTTTGTATTGATGCTGAGGAAGGCTTATTTTTAGTCTACAAGTATGTTTCCGGTGGAAGCTTAGAGCGTCATTTGCACGGTATTATTCCCTTTTTCCTGATCCTTTTTCTTTTTTCATATAGGAATGTAGCTTTATTTGTTATGAAAATGAACATTTTGAGTGATTTGAGGTGCATTTATTGTGTGCAGGGAAGAAGAGGGGTGTGAAGGATCGTCCTGCACTTCCATGGTCGGCTAGGTATAAGGTCGCCGTGGGGATTGCAGAGGCAGTTGGGTACCTACACAATGGACCTGAAAGATGCATTGTTCATAGGGACATAAAGCCCTCCAACATCCTTATTTCTTCCAAGAAGTCTCCCAAGGTGAGTTACTTCATTATCTTGAACAATATTTTAAGGTTAAAAAGTGATTTATTGGCCATATTTAGGTGGAACTACTTGGGAAGATTAGGTTATTTAAGTCCAATATTGAATAGTTTTTTATTCATGTAATAATATATGCAGTTATGTGACTTTGGATTGGCTACATGGACTCCAGCACCTTCAGTGCCATTCCTTTGCAAGACTGTCAAAGGCACATTTGGGTATGTGCAAATCAAGAACCTTTGTGGAAGAAGCGTAAATAATGGTTTTGATTTTTCTTACTGAATATAAACTAATTTTTGTTCTTAATAAATCTCGGGGACAGATACTTGGCTCCTGAATATTTCCAGCACGGAAAAGTGTCTGATAAAACCGATGTTTATGCCTTAGGCGTTGTCCTCTTGGAACTAATAACTGGCCGGAAGCCAATTGAGTCTAAAAGAGGACCAGGAGAAGAAAATTTAGTTTTGTGGGTATGTCATTACTTTTATTTCTGCCTCCAGCTCTGCTATGTAGCCTAAATTCATGGTGTTCATTATATAAAAATTGTATCTTAAAGGTGAATATTCTGCCTTAATCTTTTTAGGCAAAACCATTACTCCAGCAAGGAGCTGTTCAAAAATTGCTTGATCCACAGCTCAAATTCACTGAAAAGAACTCGAATCAGATTGCTTGTATGATTCAAGCAGCTAGCGCTTGCGTAAACAGTGAAGAATCACGTAGGCCTAACATGGATGAAATCATTGCAATACTGAGAGGAAAAGATCCCAGTTGCTTAAGCCGAAACAAGGCTATTTTGCCGGGTAACAGTATTGATTCCTGCACTCATTTACAACGCACAAAAAGTCAAATGAAGAGTCACTTCGCATTGGCCATGCTAGGAGTCGAATTTGAGGATGATGATCACCTTTACTGCCGGTGAAACCTTGTATCAAAAATCTAAGATTATTTTTTCCGTGTTTCCGACTCCTTTGGTTATTGAAAATAGAGAGTATTAGGCTTCGAACAAACAAGTTCGAACTTGTATATAGAATTGGTAGCCTCATGACTGTTTTGTTTGTATAGATCTGCATCTATTTCTTTAACTAGTTTAAAGTGCAGATACAATAATTTGAGAAATTAGTTTGACAATTCTGAGCTAGAATGTATATTATGCTCTATTTTTTTAATGGTGGCCATGTGCATTTTTCTCTGTTCTTGAAATAATTCTAATGGTGCCATGTGCAGTTGCTGCATTCAAGAAATCACCGGACTTTGTACATCTGTAACCTAGACAATGTGACATTAGTGTGCTCTAGGGGTTGAGCTGCTCAACTATCAAAGCAATATTTGAAGTTTTGACGGGGTGATTCATACCTAAGAACTCAAATGTAAGTCTCATTAAGATCCATTTATGAAAATTATGCATGGAAGTACAAATAAATGTACTGTGGTATTAAAGAAGATTAGAAGCACAACGCATGAAACAAAATTGTGTACGTAAAACTGTTTAATACAGTTTAACTACCACAACAGATATAGCCACGTGTAATGGACAGGCTACTCGAATAGAAATTGAAAATAACATTTTTTCTGGAAATAAAATTAAAATATCTTGGCAACGTCCTTGACTAATCCCCTATTGGCCCTTGCGAAATCTGTAAATTCCTCGAAAGAAATGAAACCATCACCATCGGTATCAATTTCAGCCATCATGCGCTGAATTTCTTCAGGAGTGACTGAACCAAGTGTCTTCAAAGTTTCTCCAAGCTCCGAGGATGAGATTTTTCCATCGCCATTTGCATCAAATCTTTTGAATATTCGCTCATGCTCGGCCACCTCCTGTGGATTGTCAGCCATTTTAGGTTCGAATTGAAGATTTGATTAGTGAATTGTTGTTTGCTTTTTCCCTTTGAAGTTTTGGTTAGAAAAGTTGGATTGAGGGAGGGTGTAGGTTGGCTTATAAGGAGGAGATTTGATGAAGGATATGGTAATCCATGTGAGTAGGGAGAGGTTGGGCTATTTTTAGGAACAAAATTCTTTAAAGCCAGTAAATGTTTGACGCTCAAACAGATTTGCCCGTTTGTTGCTCATCCTTTCATCCTTATTGGTTACTTTAGTATGTTTTCATAATAATTTGTGGCATAACTGACATGTGTATGTCACGTAAGGCAACTATTGATAGTCTTTATTATGAATATCATTACTCTTTTATATTTTAATGACTGTACTATTTGAAAATAATGCAATATTGAATATTCTAAAACAAATATGAAAGTACCAAATAATCCTCCATCATCATCATTTTTTTTTTACAACATTGACGAACTTTTTACTTAATTTCTATTTTTTCAGTACAAGTTTCTCCAAAAATATGCATTTAAAGTTTTTTTTTTCTTTTCTAACTCAAATAAAATTTGAATTCAACTCTATCCCTAATTTTTTAAAATGCATACACTATATTTGGTATATTCAATAAAATTTTAAGTATCATCTAATCATTATCATAGTTGATGGACATTTTGAGTAACTCTCTTCACCGATAGGCTATTAATCATCGTATCATTTTCATTATGATAATTCATTGTCATAGTTGATGGACATATTCAGTAACTCTCTTCATCGAAAGGCTATTAAATATCATATCATTTTCATTATGATAATTCAAGAGACATTGTCATCCATCACATTTTGTAAAGTTGACTTCACATAATTTATCGACAAATTAATAATTAATTTTTCATATGCAACAAATTAGTAATAATATAATAATTTTTCTCAATCTCAATATTATTATTTTATTGAGAATTTAGTGTAAAAGTTGAACTCTAAAATTGAATCTCAAACCAACACTAGCCGAGTTTGATTAGCATATTGCTGCGAGCAAACCTAGATAGAATACATCTACTCAAGATTCACTTGTCCCTATCTAAATCCTCTACCCAGCATTTGAAGAGCCAAATCGCAAACAGTTCGGTTGATATTCAATTTGCCTGGCTAAATGATTTGAGGTTCAAAAACTTGAAAATTCCATCAATTATTTGATGTAAAATCTGAACCCTTCGATTCAAACTTCAGCTTGAGTTCAATAAACGTTCAAGGGTCACATCTTATGATGACAGCTGAGCCCTCAAAGCTCAATCAACAAAAAGTCATGGCGAGCATAGCTTACACTTGGCGTATTACAATTCCAGTGGATACTAGAACAGACAAAATATCATCGCTCTCCATCACTTGCAGATAATATTACAACCAAGATTCTCGCATACTTCGGAAAAAAAATAAAGAGAATCAGATTTAGGAGCTGAACCAGGGTTTAAATCCTAAACTACATCACAACTTAAAATTTCAGTCAATCAGCTCCACATTATTATGCTAGATGATCTATAATGAAAAATCCATACCATCGCAGGAAGATTTGTAGGTAAAATAAGACGGCGATTTGATCAGCTGGCCACGGAATTGCATAGATTTGGAGAAACATCTATGCTACCGACTTGAGTAGGGCATTAAGCACAGCTTCTCTAGTTGGCAAAGCTGGAATTGCACCTCTTTCGGTCACAGTCAAGGCACCACAAGCGTTAGCAAATCTCAGAGCATCTCTCAGTCGGTTTTCGTTCTACAAAAGAGTTGAAGAAAATTCAAACAGAAACAAGAACATTAAGAATAGCGTGAAAAGATCTGTCTTTATCATGTGCCAAAATCGATGTACAGAAAAAAAGTGCCTAACCATTTATATTTGAGATATTCTGATCTTCCAATGAAATACATGAATTTGAATATTTTCCCGATACACCCCCCTCACAATAGGGGGGTGGCCGGTGGGGGAGGAGCACATCCAATAAAAAATAGTGGGCCCCCGTATTGTGAGGGGGCACCATGTGTACACATACCAAAACCCTTATTCTTTTTATATGCAAATATATTAGATCTATAAAATGGCCAATGTGAGCAAGATAATCAGCACTACTTAAACGAGCAAAATAGTAGTAGTCATTCAATCTGAGCTCTCATATAGAATTGCTCAGTGGCTAGACATTTAATGAATTTGAAATCATCAAACAGCTAAGTATTATTCTTATCGGTATCTGTTTTATTATCTACAGAACCAGAAATGAAAACGTGAAGGGTGAAAATGAATATAAAGCAACAAATTTCCGTAACTGCACACAACAGCAAAATATGTCTACGTGTCATCTATTGCATTGCTAAAAGTTAATACCTGAAGCAGTGAGATATCAGCAGCTATCTGTGATAAAATTCCAGCTACAAATGCATCCCCGGCACCTGTTGTATCAATGCAATCCACTCTCAAACCATTAACTCTTCCATTGAACTCCTGCAAGAGTCAGAACTCCAGGTAGTATCAGATACACTGCTATTACAAGAATGTACTAATCATGGAAAACTTAGGGAGGTATACATTTACAACAAAAAAATTGCTAAAGTGCCTACAATTGTTTAGCAATATGAAAAACACACATTTAGAAGCGCACCTTGGTGTAGTATCTGCAACCGTCTGGGCCTTCGGTAACTAGGAGTAATTTAAGATTCGGATGGTATAATTTGCGAACGACACTGTCATCATATGGATCTTCCCCTTGGGTTAAAAAGCGTATCTCGTCCTCACTTATCTGATGAATTATTCCAAAACGAGAGTTTATAATTTTATTTCAAAGTTATGCAGCGATGCACATTGGGAAGGATGTGCCGTTGTGTACTCGTAAACTACATGTGGAGTACCTTAATTATGTCAGCAATGTCCCATATGCTAAGGATGCCTTCTCGAGCACTTTCTGCTGATGGCCACAATGGAAGCCGCAAATTTGGATCATACGATAAGATCACACCAGCATCTTTTGCAGCTTTTGCGGCAGCAATGTGGGCCGATTTGCAAGGTTCTGTAATCAAGCTTATAGAACCATAATGGAAAACTTTGGCCTGGTAAAGGACAACAATCAGTAGAATATCAACTTGGTTTCGAAAACAGTGGTACTGGTAAGATTCTCAAGTAAATAGAAATTCGAAAAGACATAAGTTTTCTAAACCAAATGCACCTCTACTTTAATAATTGAGAACTGGTTGAAAATTGAAGTTGGTTCCTTTCCCCCCTTTCATAATTTTCCTTTATTTCGTCAAGCAATAAAATGTTTCTTCCAGCAATTTATCAAAGTTATCCTCACATACCTTCTTAATCAAATCAAGATCAAGTTCAGCTACTTGGAGCAACATATCAGCACTAGGATTACGATAAAACATGAATTCACGCTCCCCATCCTTTCTGAGTGTTACAAATGCTAAAGCAGTCCGAGCACCAGGGTCAAACCGCATTCCTTCATTGTTCACATTGTTCTCCTTCAGAATATCGGCAAGCATGTAACCAAATTCATCTTCACCCACCTGTACACACCGAATAAAAAATTGAAAATGATTTCATCGACCTGTCTACAATTTTACAGAATTCTCAAAATGACAGATCAAGTAATCAGTGAAACAAAAGAATAATAATGACACAAAATCAAAAGTCCCTTTTTCATTGAATATCAAATGCTATTACATATTCTAACCTGTGCTTGATGGTGAGGAAGGTAAGCCTAAATGCTTCCCTTCATCATATGTCTTTTTAGAAAATAATTACAATTTTAGGATTCACAATTTACATAAAAAGTACAGCTAATGCTTGCAAAACTTGAAACTCCTGAATCAGCTTGACGGAAAAAATTGCCCCTGCAAAACAAAATTATTATCAATAATACCTTCCCAATGAAAGCTGATGAACCGCCAAGGCGAGCTATGCCAACAGCAACATTAGCAGGTGCACCTCCAGGAGCCTTCTTAAATGCAGGTGCTTCAGCCAAGGAGAGCCCACTTGTGGTTGGGACGAAATCAATCAGCATTTCCCCAAAACAGACCACAAGAGACTCCTCCTTTTCCAATGTCCCGTCATTACTTTCTAATGCTTTTCCTAATAAGAATTGAGAACAAGGAATTACTCCTCAAAGAAATTCTAGAGCTATAAAGATGTCATCCAGTGAAAGAGCCATACAAGAATTGCCTGGCTATCTTTCAAGTTTATTTAACAATTTAGCAGGTTCTTTTTCAATATAGACACACGGTACAGTAAAGCATTTTGAACATCCATCTCCTGCCGTGACAGAATGTACAGCTATTACTTCTTTGCCTTTCCTAAATCCAGGTGACTGAGCATAGTGGTCCTAGCGGCTTTCTCTATCTCAGCTTGGATTGAAAATATTGTATAGGAAACGAAAACATCGTACGTTCTCTAATAGCTTAAGCTTTCAAATAACATGATATCGTCTCACCACCGTGCATTTATGATAATTTAACTCTTAACACTATGAATAAATGAATCCTGTGCGATATGACTGTTGAGTGCTTTAACCCTACTTCAGGCTAAAATTGATCCTCTTGCATACTTCCTCATGAGGCGAAACAGTCAATGCCTGTCCCATATTAACATTACCATTGAAATTCCACCCCTCTAATAGACAATAGGGACTAGGGAGTGGCAATTAGTTGACTAGAATTGACCTGCTTCATCTTGGATACTTTTTTCTTTTGAGACTGAAAAACTTTTTGACATTTTTCAATCAACTAAACTGTGTTTCAAGTTTCGACAAATATCCCAATTTATCTGCACAAGGACACATGATCTAGCTTCAGAAAACAAGAAATTAACTTCCTATCCGTAAAAGATAAAAATTGTGAAATCAAGTTATCTGGCCCAAGTAAAACACTGTCCAAAATTCAATTTTGCACGCAAATATTACTCGAATAGATTCTGACCTTGAAGTCTGAAGCGTGGAAATGAAGCCGGCGACGGCAAAGAGAAAACAGGTGCTTTGACTTTGCACTGCCGGAGAACGGATGGCCCCATCAACCTACGGGATGGCCCAGAAGCTTGATAATTCAAGGAGACACAGCCGAAGCTCAAGGCAGCCGCGTGAATAGCCATTAATTCAGCTCAAAAGAAAATTAAACGATCTCAATTATGGGGAACTTGAGGGCCAAATCAAATTACTTTTTGGCCTTAAATTTGAAGGTCTGAAAGGGAAATGTAAGCAGGCAAATTGATTATATCGACAAATAAGAAAAAAGTTATATATTAAAGAGAGAAAGATAATTCTTTGAGAATTTTTCAGCCGGTTTTTGTGTAGCTGGAGTGGGTGGGTGGTAAGTTGGGCGGGGGTTACTGTGAAGTGCAGCGGAGAAAGATAAGAGTGTAAGGAGAAATGAGAATTGGAGCGAGACAGTGCCAAGTGTTCTGTTTGGAGTTTGGACATCCAATCACCTTTCAGAGTCTTTTCGGGGTGAAATATGTCCCTTTATTAATTCTATATGTTTCAGCTTCTAGATGCGATAATCTTTTTAATTTTACATGGTTTTCAGAAGGGGCTAACGCAGCCTTTTAGCATGGACACAATCAAACTTTTAAAAAAATTACAAAAAA